GTACCCCCCCCCCCCGAACACACGCGCACCAGGGTGTGGATGGTGCGATTTCGCCTACTCACCGCTTCGTCCATTAGTGGCAGCATGAGGTTCTCGAGGTCTTTGTCAGGGTCCTCTGATTCAGACAGGGCGCGTTTTCGGGGCGGCCGCACGCCGGTAGCCCTGAGGCACTCCCGCTTCTCCTCCACCGACATGCGGGACAGGGCCCCTCTCGACCTTGTATGCGTGGCGGACATCAGGTGTCGGGGCGAGGAATCGCACCGACCAGAGGGTGGAAAAAACACGCTTGTTGATGTTGTGTTTCAGGGTGGTGGACGCGCAACAGCAGCGTGTTCTGCGGTTTTTGGTTTGTTGTTCGATTCGACCGCGTTAACCGGCCGACCAATGAGAACATGCCAGTCTCAGTGGGGCCAAAATCGTGTGTGTGTGCGTTAATTTCTTAATTATTATTAGCATCCGCGCTAACCGGCTGACCGATGAAACAACGTCAGTCTCAGTGCGGGTGAAAACCAACAACGCTTATAAATGTCGTTACCTGGGACCCCATGAGGGGGCGGCATGGGGGAGACTAACCTATTCTCCGGATCAAAGACAGAAACGGTACCAACAGAAGAAAACTGCACACGTCTACGAAGGCTGCTACCTCGCACCCGAGTTCGTTTTGGAGTGCTTTCACCGTCATTCTCCTCCCTTCCAACCCCATCGCTCAAATGGTCATTTTCAAGCAACCTCTCGACATTTTCACTCTAGCGTGTGTGTGTGTGTTTGTGCGTGTGATCGCTATCGTGCATGGCGTGGTCCTGTTTCGACCTTTCACCTCACACTTTTTCGCAAGGCCGGGAAGGGGCTGGCTCATCGGGTACTGGGCGAAGACCAGGCTCTCATGGCACCTCAGCGGGAAACGCAGTCTGCGCCGTCAAAGCCGCCTCTCCCGCACGCGTGTAGGTCGTGACGTTGCGTCACACCAGACAAAATATTTGCAGAAAGTTAACCAGACGAAGGTGTCGATTCCGGCGTGTGCCCCCAACACTACCTCCTTGTGAGACTCTTGAGAAAGAATCTAACGCTTTTCTTACATCGTCGCGTGGCCTAACTCCGCCACTTTTGGGGGGTTCAAGAAATATATCTGGCGTTTTTACCCATCCTCTCGTCTCACTTTATCGTCCATGCGGGGGGCTGCACCGGCGGGGCCACCTTGTCGGAGGTCGACGACACGTCTCTCCCCTCCATGTTGTCGAGATCCAACCGCATCTTGTTCCCGTTCATGACAAACTTTACCCGCACCTAAACATGCATAGCATGCATAGAAAAAAACAGACAGAAAAACCGAGCGCGAGGGTTACGCGTGCATGCTCAGCAACACAAATTTCCGATCCCTCCCCTTCTGCTCGCGTCGGAAAGGGAGGGGAGGTGAACGTGGTGGTGGCTTCAAGACGGAGCACCATCGTTTCGTTGTCACACCTTGCCGGAAGCACTCGGAAGCATCATCCTGCGACGTTTGCCCCGCACCAGATAGTGAAAGAGAGGTACTGTAGACACTTCCACGCCGCTAGCCCCGCCCACCTCTGCTCTTCGGGTCGACACAAAGCATCTACTCTTGAAACACATGTTTTCAGCTATCATCAAACGGTCTTGGAACACACCTTTTCAGCGAACATCAAACGTTCTGAACAGCGAGCACCATTCTTGTGAGTTTCGAACGCCGACTCATGCGACCTCCGAACGTTTTGAAAGGCGTGCACAAGATGTAAGATGCGGTAGGAATACTGGACACGCGCTTGACTCACGCGACCTCCCTCCCAGATGTCCTCGTCCACGTACACCTGACGTCCGAGAGCAAGAGCAACTCCTACGGCTTCGTCGGTCGTGACCTCGATTATGCTCCTCTGTCCCCCCCTTCCCTCCTGACAGGCACGCATGTCAGAATTTTGTGCACAACAGCGATGGATGAAAGGGAGACATTAGGCGACACACACACACAGGTAATGGTGCGGAGGCAACATAGGAAAGAAAAAGCGACCTCCGTACCGTCTATATCCCCGCTGCGACCCGCGGAAAATCGTTCATGACGCATAACACAGAAAAATTGGTCGTTGCCTCTGCCTCTGTTGGCGTTGGCATTTCACTGAATTCACGGCAACCGGTGGGGGGTTTGCTTGCAACCCAGCAACCTCGTCTCACACCGGTCCGACCGAATCGCAAGGACTTCCGCCGCCACCACACGCTAGCACGCGGAGAGGGGTCTCGAATCTCCCTTTTCGCATGTGCGAGCAAGAACGCCGCAAATACCACGCAGGAAAATATAAACTCCGGTTTGTTGTACAAAAAAAGGAATGAAGAACGGAAAGAAGGGTCGTCACTGCTGTAACAAAAATGTTATTATTACCGCGTCTTGCCATCGGCGAAGGTATGCCGACGCTCCTAGCGTCATACCCCCGGCTCCGCTCTCCTCCTCTTCCACAAACTTTGGGGGCAGGCCGTGCGTCGACGAGCCCAGAGAACGAGAGATAGAGAGAGTGAGAGAGACGAATGAATGAACGGGGAAGTGTGGGAAAGGAGTCGGGTTGAGACAGGATGCGGTCCGGCGTAAGTTCCGCCCAGACGAGGTACCAAAGGATCGAGAGGCAGGGGCAAACGGGACGAATCTTGAATCTTTCTCGTAAAGAAGAAGCTGAAGACATTCCTACGACGGAGTGGAGGGGAGACGGGGAGCGGCTTCAGGGCCCATGCTTTAGATCCAAGAGGCCGAAGGCGAGAGAGGAAAGCAAGCCCAGCAGGGAACTAGCTGGTGAAAGTTGACACAAAACTATTGGAGGTGCGGCGGAGGAGGGCCCCGAAACACTTTGGATCAAGGGGATGGGATGGGGTCGCCCGTATTCGGTCCATTCCGGGGGATCCACACCAACCAACACCGGACAGAGAGCGCCACAAACCAGGCTAAGGATGTCGGCGGGGCACAGGGTGGTGGCCACGTCGGCGAGCAGCCCGTACGCCGAGCCGAAGGCCCGCGTCTGCTGCTGGGTCCCGGGGTCTCCACCGCCGCCGCCTCCACCGCCAACACCCGCCGCGATGTCCATCATGCCTTTGCCCTGTGATCTAGTCCATGCGAACCGATGAAACGACGCAACGGCAAATACAAGCACAGGTACAAGCACCAATGCGTTTTAGGGTGCGCTCCAGATCGATATCCCTCACACCTTCCCGCCCGCGTGTGTTGTCTGCAACAAATTTTCGTTGTTGCACGCACAAGGGTATTCAGGCGTACGACCAGCTTCACCGGGGAACGATCTGCACCTCGCTCGAAGACCCCCCGGCGCCAACACACCTGTTGCTGGATATCCGCCGCGGACCTTGGAAACTACTCTGCAGCGAGAAGATCCCCTGCACCACGATGCTCTCTCCCGACCAGTGTTCACGAAGAACGCCACGGAGCAGAGAAATTTCACTGATATATTGTGTCAATCCTCTTGATGGCTATAGCGCAAAGTTTGAAAGCTCGACCTAATCACACCGATATCATGGTTCTTACGTATGAGGCGCGGAGTTGCGGGGAAACTGCAGGCTCCGTCTGTTATTCCGCGTGGGTGTACCGGCGAAGACCACACCCAACACCCAACACGCTCACCTCTGGAACGCCTCTCTCTTGGCCATCTCATCACCACTCCATTCCCAGGGTATATTGTCGTACATGCCGCCGTTTCGGCCGAACAGCGGTCTGCATGTCTGGAGGAGGACCGCGACGCTCACGTCTCGCGGTTGCACTATCGATTCAAAAGATGGACGAAGACATGGTGGACAGATGGAAAAAGCCGAGACAGTCAGAGAGGCAGACAGGCAGACAGGCAGGCAGGCACACAAGAGAGACAGACGGCATACTTGGCACGTGCCTCTGCCCGCCGAACGAAGGGTTAACTGCACGTGTCGGTGTGGTTCAATACTTCCATTGCGGTAGAGAGGAGGAAAAAATGGGGTGTAGGGAAACCTGGGGGGACGTGCATGTTCTCCGCCGTCATGTTTCGTTTGCAGTATTATCGGGGCAGGGGTGATGATACAAGACGTAGCTCAAATGGAGAGCGACGTACCCACTGCTGTTGGGACCAGCGCATGCCTGCCTTTGCGTGATACAGCTCGCTAGGGCGTTTGCTGTCAAACCCGCGCGCTGCGTGTCAGCGAAACCTGTGGCCTAAGGAAATGATAACTGTCCCCCGACCGAATCGTTTCTCGCTGGCACTCATTCGGTCAACCCGACATTCTCCATCCCGGTGCACCTCTCGCACAGACCGCAGCGTGCCATCAGGTCAGCACGAGGTAGGTCTCTATCACATCGAGCTCTGCATGTGGACGTAGTAGTGGTTCTGCTTTGGGCTACATGTAGGCTTGACCATGATTGCACTCAACGGAAAATGCATCTTCTCCTCTCTTGGTTGTACTACAGCTCGAGGCACAAGTTTTCACAAAATACTTGACATGTCAAGTCCGCACCGCCAATAACGTTCACCAATTGCTCGGCATTCGTCACCAGCTAGCTAGTGCAGCCACTTGTGGCCAGGAACGCACGGGGATTGCATCAACCTTGGGTAATCGCCGCTTGTGTTCGCATCGAGCATTCACATCATCGTCGCGGGGTAGTCAAGTCCTTCAGCCTAGGATTCTTCCAAATATGCCGACAGCAAGAAGACTGATGAGAACGAACCTACATCAAATGGGTTGGAGAGCACATGTGGGCTCTGGGCTATGACACCGAGGTCAGGGGCGAGAAGGGACCAAAACATCGGTATTGCTTTGTGAAACTGAGTGACCTACATGTCTTGCAGCGCCCAAGGAACAGGGGAGGTATATGGTCAACTTCAGCAGTGTTGCCCTGGTCTTGAAAATACAAGGTATGCATAAAATCACTCAACTGCTAACTATGTGCCCGTTCGAGAGATCACCACAGTCCAAGGGGTGGTGTTGAAAGTATTTGCAGTGAGTGGACGGCGGAGGAAAACCTCCTGGAACTGGCCTACTGCGGTGTAAATGAGTCGGTTGTTGATACCAAACAGGAAATCACCCGCTCTTCCGCGGAAAATGCAGAACGTATTGGTCCGTGCCGTGCACCATCACGTGTACACCGGGGTCAACCAATGTTTCGTGCCACTTGGAAAATGGGCGTGCGAGTAACTTTCTGGGAAATGTTTCTGGCTACAGCTGCATATCTCGAAATCACTCCCGGCCGTATCAGACAGACATTGCGTTGTGCTTCGAGTAAACACATCAAGACTTGTTCTCACTGGCTTCGCTGAGCAACGGTGCAGCCTCTTCGGGGATGGGGATGGGCAGGACCTCTTCGCGCGGATCCAGGATGCGGCGCTTGTTCGCCAGGAACACCGCCGGCCCACCGTTGTACTGACCCAGCCCCACGGGCCAGCACGCGGCGAAGCGTCCCGAGGGGAGCTGTGCGGGAGCTTGGCGACTGCCGGTGCCCGACACCATCATCGTCATTCTGGGTGACGATGGCAACATCATCATCATCGACGATGTTGATGTTGAAGTGACCAGTAGCGCTGCGGAAGGCTTCACCCTCGCTATCCAGCCGTACACGGCGATAAAACACAGCCCCCGACATCGGCGATGCTGGTCGACCATTGGGCGGCAGGGGAGGTGCTCGAAGCGGAGGTAGGTAACCGGGGGTGTGTGCGTACACACCGGATGGCGGACAATTTCATGATGCGGCGCAATAAAGGGGCGGCTCTGTGAGCTGTATTCACTCATATCCGTGGCATTTTGTTTGTTGTGACCCCTCTTCAAACATTCAAATCAACGGGCAAGGGCAAAAACAGGAGCCCAGAGCAAGAGCGAACTCTGCGCCCAACGGTGAGACAATCATAGTATGTAGGCCTCATAATGACTAGTTCGGCATCGATTAGATACCAATCACAAAGGGGGGCTCTAGATGACGTAACCCCTTTCGTGTTTTGTGTTGTTTGGTGCTGCAGGATGCGTCAACAAGCGTCACAGCCGTTTAGCGCGAACCGATAGACATCTCGCCGCCATGCTTGCATCGCTTGCTTCAAAGCTTCAAAGTCAAGTTTGTTTGGCTCTCTCTCTCTCTCTCTCTCTCTCTCTCTCTCTCTCTCTCTCTCT